TATTTTCCAACAGCTGTTACTAAAACTTCAAACAGATTCTCGAAAACTAAACTTCTAATAAATTATCTAAAACTTCTAACAGATTTTGCAAACTTCCAAACATATCATCCAAATCTTCTAACAGAATTTCCTAAAACTTCCAACAAATTTCACAAAACTTCTTATACCCTTCCCAACCGACCTTAAAAAAAAAACAAATAAATGCTAAACATTCATTAAAAACATTTTTTTCTCTGAAACTTACCTCACCCGTTTCATAGATCGTGTCAACAGCTCCATGCATACACTGGGTGGTGTTGACGAGAATCACACCTCGTTTTGTTGCATCCCTGAGTACCTGCAATGTGAAAGCCACTTATAAACTATTGCATTGCAACTTTGGTATGAGTATATCATACATTTTTAAGGATGATTCTGATGATTATTATGGGGAATCTATGATTCTGGTGGTAATTTTTATATCAGTTAAGTCAGTGAAAAGGCTTAGCTTTTTGTTTGTTTTAGATAACTTTATCTATTGATTATGGTTATCAGTATCATAATATATTGCTCGGTCAGCACTGCACTTCACTTGAAAAGTTATAATCCTAATAAAACTGCTCTCTATTTGGGCAACATAAATAGAGTAATAGCGAGGTTCCCTTGAAAAAAAATATATATATATATATCTTTCTTTTTCACTCTTCCACCCTTCCCTATCCAGCCCACCCCTCTTCCTCCTTCCCAGTCCCTCTCCTTTCCCCCTCCCTTACTCCCACCCTCTAGCCTTCTCCCCTCTCCCCTCCTCCCCTCCCAACTCTCCCCTCCTCCCCTCCCAACTCTCCTCTCCTGCCTCCCCTCTCAATCCTCTTCGCTCCCCTGCTCCCCTCCCAGTCCCCTCCCCCTCCCTTCCCTCTATCCCTTCCCCACCCTCTATCCCTCCCCCTCCACCCCCCATCCCGCCATCCTCCCCACCCCACCCGCGCCCCCCATACCTCCATAATATCCGTCCGGTTCGAGGGCATGTTCCCCGCTCCGTACGTCTGTATGATGGCTCCCGAGATGGGCGGCTGGAGGAACTGCTTCACCGTCTCAGCTGATATGGACGGGAAGATCCTCAGCAACCCGACGTGGCGGTTCAGGCGGTCGAACACGGTGAACTTCTCCAGGCGAGTCGGGCGGAAGATCGAACGGTAGTCAACTGTGTGGAGGGGAAAGAGGGAGTGAAAGGTGGGGTGAAAGGTGGAGAAAGAGGGAGGGGGAGGTGGGAAAAGTGGGGTGAAAGGTGGAGGAAGAGGGAGGGAGGGAAGGTGGGGAGAGAGGGGAGGGAAGGTGGGGAGAGAGGGAGGGGAAAGTGGGGAGAGAGGGAGGGGAAGATGGGGAGAGAGGGAGGGGAGGTAGGGGAGAGAGGGAGGGGAAGGTGGAGGAGAGGGGAGGGGAAGGTAGGGAGAGGGAGGGAGGTAGGGTAAGAGTGAGTGAAAGGTGGAGGAAGAGGGAGAGAAAGTTGGGATAAGAGGGAGGAAGAGGGAGAAGGTGGGTACTGAGGGAGGGAAAGATGGAGAGAGATAGGAAAGGGGGAGAGAGAAATGGGAAAATGGTTGAGAAGGTAAGGAAGAGGGAGAGAAAAGTGGGAAAAAGGGAGAGAAAGTGAGAAAGAGAGAGAGGAAGGTGGGGAAGAACGAGAGAGAAAGGTGGGAAAGAGGGAGAGAAAGGTGGGAAAAAGGGAGAGAAAGTGAGAAAGAGAGAGAGGAAGGTGGGAAAGAGGGAGAGAAAAGTGGGAAAAGGGAAGTTCTGTAGGTAATGAGACTTATAACTGGGATAATAATGATAATAGTGGTAGCAGAACTGGAGGTGATGATGAGGTTAATATGAAGATGAAGAACAATAAACAACAATAATAACAACCAATCGATACATCAAAGTAATATTATCAGCTTACACACACATACACACTCAAAAAAAGAAATGAAAATCACACAGGTCCGCACCTTCACCCAAACCAGGCAACACGAATAAATAAATATATATATATATATATATATATATATATATATATATATATATATATATATATATATATATATCCACCAACTCCACACATCTTAACCATCCACCCAACCTAATAATAAATTATTCAAAATATAAATAAAATAAATAAATAAATAAATAAATAAATAAATACATAAATAAATAAATAAATATTTAAAAAATCATCCACACCAACACCACGACCTCACCTTGGATAGAGATGCCAGCAATCGCCAGAGGAGGCATATTGGGCGAGTCGAAAGCCTGCAGTCTGCCCGTGGACACCTTGGTCGTTCTGTTCCCGCGATACAGCTTGTTGTTGAAGAACACAGTCACTTCGGGGATGTTGTAACTTCCGGCCATGATGACGGAGCCGATGAAGTTGTCTCGGCCGTCGCTCCTGGTCTCGAAGATGGGGATCTGGAAGGAAAAATGTGGAGAAGGGTGAAGTTAGTTCTGGGGGAATGGCAGCAGGAGGCGAACGGAAATTTTGGGGAAGGAATGAGAGGAGGAAGTGAAGGGAATGAGGTTAGTTCAGGGGAATGGAAGGAAGAAATGAAGGAAAACGTTTGTGTTTTTAGAGACAATATAATAGTTTTTTTCTATATTGATATTCTGAGATGATGTAAAAATCAGTACTTAAAGGAAGCTCTCTGTATTAACGAAAGTCTCTTCGAGTTCCGAGTTCATGAGTCGGCGTTCATAAATATGTGAACAACCGATTTCGAATATTGAATCTCATACACGCGCTCCCTATGAATGACAGTGAATAACTTTACAGCACAAGGGATGCTTGATGCGCTTTCATTAAATCTTCATCATAAGTACATCATATCTAATTTTCACACAATTATCTTTGTGATTATTAGAAAAATTACATAAACATTACGTGGATAAAAATTATCTATTTCTCTAACTGACGGACTGCATGTGAGAGAAAAAAACGTGTAATCATTACACTCTACACAGTTTCGTGCAAATGACACCCATTTTGTGACTGTAAATAGTTCTCAATCACTGTAAGCTACAAGAGGCTTTGTGTGAACATGAGGGGCGTTACGTGTGTGCCTGAGCAAGAATATTTTTAGATAAGAAGATTCCATCGCGCATGAAGGCCATAGGGTACGCGGAGGTTGCGACCATCGAGTGGTAGTATGTTGGGCTTTTTCTCTCTCTCTCGCTTTCTCTTTCTCTGGAGCTCTTTCTCTCTCTCTATCGCTCCGTCTTTCTTTCTTTCTCTCTCTCTATTTCTCTTTCTCTATCCCTCTCTCTATTTCTCTTTCTATCTCTCTATTTCTCTTTCTATGTCCCTCTCTCTATTTCTCTTTCTCTATCCCTCTCTCTATTTCTCTTTCTCTTCCCTCTATCCCTCTCTCTATTTCTCTTTCTCTATCCCTCTCTATTTCTCTTTCTCTATCCTCTCTCTATTTCTTTTCTCTATCTCTCTCTATTTCTCTTTCTCTATCCTCTCTCTATTTCTCTTCTCTATCCCTCTCTCTCTTTCTCTTCTCTATCCCTCTCTCTATTCTCTTTCTCTATCCCTCTCTCTATTTCTCTCTCTATCCTCTCTCTATTCTCTTTCTCTATCCCTCTCTATTTCTCTTTCTGTATCCCCTCTCTATTTCTCTTCTCTATCCCTCTCCATTTCTCTTTCTCTATCCCCTCTCTATTTCTCTTTCTCTCCCCTCTTTCTCCTCTATCCCTCTCTCCTCTCTATCCCTCTCTATTTCTCTTTCATCTCTCTCTATTTCGCTCTCTTTATTTCTCTTTCTCTATCGCTCTCTTTATTTCTCTTTCTCTATCCCCCTCTCTATTTCTCTTTCTACATCCCCCTCTCTTCCTCACTCTCATTCTTTCTCTCATTCCCTCTCTCTTTCTCTCTTTCACTGCCACCTTTTTTGCAAAAGGAATGTTCCTTATGGGCGTAAATATGACATCCATAAATTAGAGACATTAATTAGCTGAGAAATATTTATCTCTGAAGTCCAGAAGTTTCAGGGCCAATTTTAATCTTTTTCTTCATTTCAGAGAGATATATAATCACAAAAGTCGTGTTGTAAGTGAAGATTCGAGGCCCAGATCTCTCATAACAACATGGACATATTACTTATCTAACAAGTTTTTTTTTTTAGAGTGTGACTATACAGACTTTTATCTTTCTTTCTTTTTCTCTCTTTTTTTTCTTCTTTCTTCTTTTCTTTTGTCTCTTCTTAACAAGAGACTTTTCACGTCATGCTCATTAGTTACGGTCCAGAGGTATTCATAATGTGGTGTGTGTGTGTGTGTGCGTGCGTGCGTGCGTGCGTGCGTGCGTGCGTGCGTGCGTGCGTGCGTGTGCGTGCGTGCGTACTCTTTATTAGTCCAGTAAAATAAAGTGAAAAACGAAGCTCGCATAATAATAATTTTATTGATGATTATTAATATATAAAAAAGATGCAAATTGTAAGAGATTATCATCGTTGAACTCATTAAAATGGGTTTCTAATATATCTATTTTTTCTGCATAAAATAAATTATATTATTGATACAGGGTTTAAAATTCTATTACATTTTGGATACTGTGTTCATATATAAAATGAAAATGACGTATATATTTTCAAGACACTATTCAACAAATTACATTAAAGATTCGAAAGACAATATTAAACCTATATATTAAATTACATTAAAGAATCGAATGACAAACAAGAAAAAATGACACTCAATTTACTCTGAGATAAGGAAAGGGAATAACAAGCAATTTACTTTAAGGTAAAGAAAACAAATGACGAGCAATTCATTCTAATAATTGAGATAATAACACGTAATTTACTCTAAAATAAAGAAAAGAAATAACACGTACTTTATTCTAAAATAATAAAAATAATAATAACACGTAATTTACTCTTAAACAAGATAAAGCAAACACGCAATTTTCTCTAAGAAAATAACAGCACGTAATTTACTCTAAAATAAGAATAAGAAAGAAACAACACGCAATTTACCCAAAGAAAATAACAACATACAATTTACTCTAAAATAAAGAAAACAAATAACAAATAATTTACTCTAAAATAAAGAAAACAAATAAAATAATTTACTCTAAAATAAAGAAAACAAATAAAATAATTTACTCTAAAATATAAATAACTTAAAAGTCGTTTTACTCCATCTTCCACTCTCCACCGACAAGCTCTAGGACACCAACCTCGACTTCAAAACCACAGCGCGCCTGCAGTCATGCAAGCACAGCATGCACTGGCAAGCAACGCCAAAGCAAACGACAAAGCTAAAACAAAATTCATATATTGACAATAAAGCAAGCACGAAATGTTCGAGATAATGTTAGAATATGAAAAAAGGGAATTTAGTTGACTGTTATATCATTCGAAAAAATAAAATGACATAAAAAATAGAGAAAAATTAATATCATGTTATTTTCTGGTATGTAGTCCAGGATGTTGAGTGAGGAATTTTGTGCATGATATTTTTTTTTTTTTTTTTTTGCTCTTAAATTCTCCTTCTATTGTTATGTATTAAACTAATCAAGTGTTCTGCGACAAATGAATAAAAATATTTATACATGAAATCAAATAATTCCACAAGTTTTTCATTGAATTCTTTGACGTTCCACCTTCCTTACAAAAAAAAAAAAAAAAAAAAAAAAAAAAAAAAAAACAGATATCAAACCACCAATCATATTTCTTCCTTTGTGGATTGACTCATTCTTATTCATACTTTCTCAACATGTATCTCCTTAGCTAATTCACATCCTCTCAACATATCAACATATACTCAACATATTCGGTAAGCATTCGAATACCGTATATTCATACATACTTTCTCAACATATCTATTTAGTCCATTCATATCCTCTCAACATATCAACATATTTTCAACATATTCGGTAAGCATTCGAATACCACATATTCATTCATACTTTCTCAACATATCTATTTAGTCCATTCATATCCTCTCAACATATCAACACATTTTCAACATGTTCGGTAAGCATTCGAATACCACATATTCATTCATACTTTCTCAACATGTTCATTCATACCTACTTAGCCCATTCATATATTCTCAACATATCAATGAATTCTCAACATCGAATACTACACATTCATTCATTCATACATTCCTAACATACTTATTCACATCTTCCTAAAGTTATTCATTCTCATTCATACATCTATTGAATTTATCGTCATTCACATACAGTAGTTATTCATTTTCATTCATACACCCAAAATATTTATTCTCCTACATGCATCTAAATTATTCGCATTCATCAACATTCATACACCTAAGCTATTCATTCTCATTCATATACCTAAGTTATTCATTTTTCATTTATACACCTAAGTTATTCATTCTCATTTATACACCTATGGTTTTCCTTATTCATACAACCAAGTTATTCATCTACATTCATACACCTAGGCTATTCCTTTCTATTCATACACCCAATTTATTCAATCTCATTCACACCTATTTCTACAATACTCATTAACACCTCAACACGAACGAGAACTTCTACAACAAATAACACCTCAAAACGAGAATTTCTACAATAAATAACATAACACGAATAATAATTTCTATAGCAAATAGCACCACAACACGAACGATAATTTCTAAAACAAATGACACCTCAATACGAGAATTTCTACTAGAAATAACACAACTCGAACAATAATCTCTACAACAAGCAACACCACAACACAACCGATAACTTCTACAAACAATTAACACCTCAACACGAACGATAACTACCACAACAAACAACACCGCAACACGAACGATAACTTCTACAACAAACAACATCTCAACACAAACGACAGCTACCACAACAACCACCACCACAACACGAACGATAACTACCACAACAAACGACAACTACCACAACAACCACCACCACAACACGAACGCTAACTACCACAACAAACAACACCACAACACGAACGCTAACTACCACAACAAACAACACCGCAACACGAACGATAACTACCACAACAAACAACACCTCAACACGAACGATAACTACCACAACAAACAACACCTCAACACGAACGACAACTACCACAACAACCACCACCACAACACGAACGATACTACCACAACAAACGACAACTACCACAACAACCACCACCACAACACGAACGCTAACTACCACAACAAACAACACCACAACACGAACGCTAACTACCACAAAAACAACACCGCAACACGAACGATAACTACACAACAAACAACACTCAACACGAACGATAACTACCACAAACAACAACACTCAACAACAACGATAACTACCACAACAAACAACAACCGAACGAAAACTACACAACAAACATCAACCACGAACGATAACTACAACAAACAACACCTCAAACGAACGATAACTACCACACTCAAACAACGAACGAACAAACAACAAACAACACCTCAACACGAACGAATACCACAACAAACAACCCACAACACGAACGATAACGAACGATAACTACACAACAAACAACCCTCAACACGAACGATAACTACACAAACAAACAACACCTCAACACGAACGATAACTACCACAACAAACAACACCTCAACACGAACGATAACTACCACAACAAACAACACCTCAACACGAACGATAACTACACAACAAACAACACCTCAACACGAAATACCACCAACAACACCACAACACACGATAACTAACAACAAACAACACAACACGATAACTTCAACACGAACGATAACTACACACACAAACAACACAACGAACGATAACTACAACAACAAACAACACAACACGAACGATAACTACCAAACAACCACCACAACGAACGATAACTACACAAACAAACAACACCCAACACGAACGATAACTACCACAACAAACAACACACAACACGAACGATAACTACAACACAACAACACCTCAACACGAACGATAACTACCACAACAAACAACACCTCAACACGAACGATAACTACCACAACAAACAACACCACAACACGAACGATAACTACCACAACAAACAACACCTCAACACGAACGATAACTACCACAACAAACACACCACAACACGAACGATAACTACCACAACAAACAACACCACAACACGAACGATAACTACCACAACAAACAACACCACAACACGAACGATAACTACACAACACAACAACACCACAACAAACAACACCACACGAAACGATAACTACCACAACAAACACCACAACACGAACGATAACTACACACAACAACACCTCAACGAACGATAACTACCACAACAAACAACACCGCAACACGAACGATAACTACCACAACAAACAACACCTCAACACGAACGATAACTACCACAACAAACACCACAACACGAACGATAACTACCACAACAAACCTCAACTCAAACGATAACTACCACAACAAACAACACCTCAACTCGAACGATAACTACCACAACAAACAACACCTCAACACGAACGATAACTACACACAAAACCCACAACGAACGATAACTACCAACAAACAAACAACCTCAACACGAACGATAACTACACAACAAACAACACAACACGAACGATAACTACCACAACAAACAACACCTCAACACGAACGATAACTACCACAACAAACAACACCTCAACTCGCGATAACTACCCACAAACAACACCGCAACACGAACGATAACTACCACAACAAACAACACCTCAACACGAACGATAACTACCACAACAAACACCACAACACGAACGATAACTACCACAACAAACAACACCTCAACTCGAACGATAACTACCACAACAAACAACACCGCAACACGAACGATAACTACCACAACAAACACCACAACACGAACGATACTACACAAAACAACACCTCAACTCGAACGATAACTACCACACAACAACAAACATAACGGCAACACGAACGTACCACACCACAACACGAACGATACCCACAACAAACAACACCGCAACACGAACGATAACTACCCACAACAAACACCACAACACGAACGATAAACTACCACAACAAACACACCTCAACTCGAACGATAACTACCACAACAAACAACTCAACTCGAACGATAACTACCACAACAAACACCACAACACGAACGATAACTACCACAACAAACAACACCTCAACTCGAACGATAACTACCACAACAAACACCACAACACGAACGATAACTACCACAACAAACAACACCGCAACACGAACGATAACTACCACAACAAACAACACCGCAACACGAACGATAACTACCACAACAAACACCACAACACGAACGATAACTACCACAACAAACAACACCACAACACGACGAACGATACTACCACAACAAACAACACCTCAACACGAACGATAACTACCAAACAAACAACACACAACACGACGATAACTACCAAAACAAACAACACCGCAACACGAAACGATAACTACCACACAAACAACCACAAAACGAACGATAACTACACAACAAACAAACCCAACACGAACGATAACTACCACAACAAACACCACACACAACGATAACTACCACAACAACAACACCAACAACGATAACTAACAAACAACACCTCAACTTAACTACACAACAAACACGAACGATAACTACCACAACAAACAACACCCACACGAACGATAACTACACAAACAAACAACACCTCACACGAACGATAAACTACCACAACAAACACCACAACACGAACGATAACTACAACACAACAACACCACAACACGAACGAAACTACCACACTAACTACACGCAACACGACACTGAACGATAACTACACAGAAATAACTTCCCAACGAACGATAACTACCAACAAACAACACTCAACACGACGATAACTTACAACAAAAAACACCACACGAACGATAACTAACTACCACAACAACAACACCTCACACGAACGATAACTACCAACAAAAAACACCACAACACGAACGATAACTACCACAACAAACAACACCTCAACACGAACGATAACTCTCTACACAAGCACACGACGATAACTACCGACAACAAACAACACCTCAACACGAACGATAACTTCTACAACAAAAAAACCTCCACACGAACGATAACTACACAAACAACACCACAACACGAACGATAACTACCAACAAACAACACCTCACACGAACGATAACTACCACAACAAAAAAAACACCACAACACGAACGATAACTACCACAACAAACAGAACGATGAACTTGAGAACAACACTAACGTACGATAACTACCACTCAACACGTCCACAACAAACAACTAACACTTCAAAACACGCGCTCCAAAGACTCACCTGAGATCCTGTAATAACAACAGGTTTTCCGAGATTTTCCAGCATGAAGGACAAGGCCGAGGCTGTGTAGGCGAGGGTGTCGGTCCCGTGGAGGACAACGAAGCCGTCGAACATCTCGTATACACCCTGGGGGAAGAGAGAGAAAGTGAGAAAGGAGAAGTGAAGTGAGGTGAGAGGAGAGATGGGGAGAGGGAGGGAGGGAGAGAGGGAGGGAGGGAGGGGAGAGGAGAGGGAGAGGGAAGGGAGAGGGAGAGAGAGAGAGAGAGAGAGAGAGAGAGAGAGAGAGAGAGAGAGAGAGAGAGAGAAGGGAGAGGGAGAGGGGAGAGGGAGAGGGAGAGGGAGAGGGAGAGGGAGAGGGAGAGAGAAGTGAGTGTGCGGTAAAGATGGCTGTGTGGAGAGTGGGGAAGGATGGTGAGAGGAGGGAGAGGGAGGGAGGGAGGGAGGGAGGGAGGGAGGGAGGGAGGAGGGAGGGAGGGAGGAAGGAGGGAGAAGGGAGGAAGGGAGGGAGGAGGGAGAGAGGGAGGGAGGAGAGAGGAGGAGGGAGGGAGAGGGAGAGGGAGAGGGAGAGGGGAGGGAGAGGGAGAGGAGAGAGAGAAAGAGAAAGAGAAAGAGAAAGAGAAGAGAGGGAAGGGAAGGGAGAGAGAGAGAGAGAGAGAGAGAGGAGAGAGAGAGAGAGAGAGAGAGAGAGAGAGAGAGAGAGAGAGAGAGAGAGAGAGAGAGAGAGAGAGAGAGAGAGAGAGACAGACAGACAGACAGAGAGACAGAGAGACAGAGAGACAGAGAGAGACAGACAGACAGACAGACATAACGTGAGAGAGAGAGTGAACGGGGGGGGGGGGTATTGTGGGCGGTTGGGACAGGGTAGGCAGAAGGGACGCATGGCGAACAGACTGCAACAGGAACACGAAGGGAAGGACAAGAAAACACACGAGTATGCCGAAGGCCTTTTCGCTAATGCTTCGACAGGGAATGCATGCCCTGACGAAGCATCAGCGAAAAGGCCTTCGGCATACTCGTGTGTTTTCTTGTCCTTCCCTTCGTTGTTCCTGTTGCAGGCATAAGGGGGTACTGTCTGGGAATGGTGTGTGTGTGTGTGTGTGTGGTGTGTGTGTGTGTGTGTGTGTGTGTGTGTGTGTGTGTGTGTGTGTGTGTGTGTTGTGTGTGTGTGTGTGTGTGTGTGTGTGTGTGTGTGTGTGTGTGTGTGTGTATTTGCGTATGGGCGTGTTGTGTCGGTATGAGTGCAGAGGAGGGGGTTGTGTGTATGAATAGATTGTGTTGTGCTTGTGAAAGAGAGAGGGTTGTGGTGTGTTATGAGTGTTCTGTTGTATTGTGTGCATTGTCTTGTTGTGTTATGTGCATGCCTGGGGAGGGGGTCGTATTGTATGTGTATGCATGTGTTGTGTGTCATGTGTGTACAGTATGTTAAATATTATTATATATATATATATATATATATATATATATATATATATATATATATATATATATATATATATATATATATAATATATATATATATATATGTAGAACCCACCATCATTGAATCACATTTACCTGTACATATCTAAAAATTCGTCTACATCAACCCATCTCCACCACATCAACCAATCCACCAAGGGCGCACAAATTATTCGTTTATCTATTTATTCATTTTTCATGTATTATCATTATTTTTTGCAGGGGTGTAATCGTCTGGATCGACTATGAAGAGACCTATTTTTTGGACCGACTAATTACAACAACAAATTTGCGACATCTTTATAATCTTGAGGAACAAAAGAGCTCGTACTCAACAGATAAAACTTTTTTTTTTAAACTTGAACTTTAACAATAACAACACGCGGCGTCGGACCGTTAAATTTAAAAGGGAGGGGTTTACTCCTACGCCCGCCAACAGGTCGAATCACACGCGGACTTTTTAACCGAATTCACATGATTTTTTTCGAACTTTTTTTTTCATCCAGATTAATAAACTTTTCCCCATAAGGACTGAAATATTCCAACATTTCGCGTTCAAAATGTGGATTAGTTGATATTCAAAACAACATCGGCGAATTTACATGGACTTTTCTTTAGCTCTATAAATACATTTTTTTTTCTTTCTTTCTTTCTTTTTGACCGATTGAAAAATAGAAGATTATCACACACACCATAATGTGCGCCCCTCCAATAAATAATAACAATAATAATAACTACAAATA